AGTGCCTGACGGTGCCTCGTGCGTGTGAAAGGAGCTCACAGCAACAGGATTTGAGTGAGCTGTACTGGTGTGGTTTTAGATACCGTGCTTTATTAATTTCCAGATTTGTGTGTCACTGGTCTGGGAGCATCAGTGGATCAGCATGTCCCTGTTCCCACCTGTCCTAGCTGCATAGGCACAGCAATTTTAGAGGGACAAAGATTTTTGGATCCTTGTAGTTCCCTTCGTTTCCTCTAGCATGAACTAGAGCACTTTGAAGACAGCCCTAAGACATGCTCTGTTTCCCAGTGTCCACAGTGGGCCCTGCACTGCAGCGCATTTCAGTACCGCCCAATCACAGCATCTCCATGCAGTGTTTCATAAGCTGGAAGGAGTATACCAAGTGGGTTGTTCTTCTCCCTCTTGCCCCCTTTCTACAGCCTCTGAGAGCTGTCAAGACAGCATATAAGAATTTAAATGCACGTAGGAGTCAAGTCCTGCCCCAAGAATGAGAAAGAAGTTCCTTAAATAAACCAGCTGGTAGAGGTGACTGGAAAGTCTGATGCACTTAAGTGTAAATCTTACAAGGACAGATCCTCCTCAGAAGGAAACTACGTGCCTTCAGTTATATCAGAGATCACCACAGACCTCGAGCAAATACTCCAAAAGGCACCAGGAATTCACTAGTAGGAATGAAAGCTGCTCCACTGAATCCTGCAATCTACTGCACAGCAAGTTGCCACAGAACTAAACCCCAAAATGCTTCGGCAGGGCTGACCACGCAGCCGTCTGCTGCCTACCACCGGGGCCTGGCAGCCTTCAATCTCTGCTACCTTAGGCATCGCTGCAAAAGTGGCCCAACTCATTCCCTTAGGTGTACCTGATGGATTTAAAAGAGGATTTAGGCACCCAGAATTAGGTCTCAAAACTCCACTAAAGTTATAGAGCACAGGGCAATGGCACAAATAGCCCTTCTGCTTGCTGTCCAAATGTGAGAGAGGATGCAATGGAAGGCAGAGTGTTCCAATGCATAACCAGAAGCTGCTGAAAAATTCCTTGTGGAAACAAGAGATCTATTTTATTTACCACAAATTTGCTAAGTAAGGTTAATACCCTGACATTGACCCTGTCTGGTATGCCTTTAGTGATACTACCGTGCTTTGTCCCGTTAAGATTTTATGGCAGAAGAGATAACATGTAGTTGATAACCCATCTTAAACAGGTACTTTTCTTCTTCTCCCCCTCCCCATGGCCCCCACTGCATTGTAGCAGGGAAGGTAATGCTTCAGCCAGAGAACTTGTTTCCAATGTCAGCCTGTAGCCAGCTTATGCCTGAAGAAAGAGAGACTGATCAGCCATTGGGGTCTTCATCCTAGCAGTTGAATAGCCCACGTGGATATCAACATTATCATAAAATCACTCAGTTGCTGAAAGTCATCTTACCCTCAGAAGGAGCTGAATAGCAACAGTTTCTAAATCCTTACGTACATCCATTTACAGCAGCTGAGCTGTGGGAGTACACAGACCTATTTCTCAGCTAGCACTATAATCAAGTCATTCCTCATTTAAGAGTGAATTCATTTGCCTTGGTATTAGTCCCAAACAATAGTTCCAGAAATTGATATATAATCTCCAACTAAAACTAAGGTTAAACTGAGGCTGCCAAACTCCTTTATTCCTCAAAGCACATTTAAAGTCCCCAGCCAGATTCCGATCTTGGTGTGAATCTGAACATACTGAATTAAATTTAAAAGCCACCGCTTTAAACGGGTGTTTCTCAGGAGCCCCAGTGTTGCCATAAAGATCAGAATCTGTCCTTAATATCACTGGTACTGTGCAGAACCAGCTCCCGACTATTTATAGCTCTCACTATATATACACACTGCAGCTTCCAAAAGCATATTTTATCTTTTGGGAGGACAATGCTCTCAGAAATCTAATAAAAGGCAAAGTTTTGTTAAAAAGAAAAATCTGCTCAAACCCTTAACCTGGAAGAGTGGCCCCACGCTGCCAATCAGATAATAAGCTTAATTCTTACATCACACTTTATTTGTAGCTCGCTGTGTCGTTAATGGTCGCAGCTTATCTAACAGCAGAAACGCGAAACCAGAGGTTTAGAACAATAGAACCAAGGCTGTCACCAGCAGGCTGCCGGTGAATCACGTCCCGCAGTCAAGTTCTCCCAGAAGGTCATTTGTAACAGAAATACAGCTCTGCCCGGAGCTAGCAAAATGCCGAAAAGTGTTTCTCACTTTTACCCTAATAAAACATTGAGCAGATCAGTTACCAGAACAACTTCACCTGGTTGTGTGTTTCAGTCCTGTTGATTGCAAGACTTAATAGCAAAGGTTACCAAGCGAGCAGGCCTGCTCACTTCTGTGTCTGGGATTCTAGACACTAGATTCTACCTTCATCCTAAATTCAAGGTATCTATAAAAAAAAAAAAGCTTTTACACCTTAAGACAAATGTGATTTACTGCGCTCTCTCACATTTTCAAAAAAAGAAAAAATTATTTTTAAATACTAAGTAACTTTCTTCCATACCATTTAGAACCAAAACCACTGAAAGACTGAGCTCTGTGAAAAGGATTTGCCAAGAAACAGAAAGCAGCGCTGTCGCTTTCTTTTTCATGCCCAGAGACATATGCAGAAAAAGCACAAGTACAAAAAAAAAAAAATCAGGTACTACCTGTGTCTTAAATATGGAAGCTGGTTTTGGTCATATATAATTATTTTAAAGTAACTACTCCGTCTGCAGCTTAAAGCTTTTAAAAAGCTTTAATATCTCTTCTGCTGTCCTTGCAAAAGAGCTCCAGATTTTCTGCAAGAGGGAAAAGAACAGATGATGGGGGGAGCTATTCTTTTAAGACGAATATCATTGGCACAAACAGCTGGCAGTTAGTGGCGTATTATTTATATGTGCAGTTGCTTGTGGTTTTTAACAGATAAGCAAGCAGTATCTCATTAGCAATTCAGGTGAGGAACGTGAGCAGCTCTACAGCACCACCGGCCTCTGGGCCACGTTTCTTATCATATCAGAAACATCTGTCATGGTGCAAATGAATTCATTACAAAAGCACATCAAACATGCAGTTTCAGGGTGAGACAGCAGTCTGCAAAGAAACCAGAAGCCCAGCCTCCCCCTATAAAAGCTGGGATGGTCTGTCCCATACTCACCAGTTGGGAGGAAGGCAAGCACTGGGAGGGGTAAGGGGGAGAAAAAGAGAGAAACCTTGGAAATGTCATGATTATAAATTATCCCTTCCCTAGGAGCTGACTGTGTCTGAGAATGAGCTTGCTCATGAGGGTCTGGCGGTTCACACGCAGAGCATGCACGCTGCAAAATGGTTATCACCACCCCACGGCGAGTCCTCCGCTCCTCTGGGGTGCAAACAGGCCGGACTGTAATCCTGACCTTTGTGGTCCAGAGGACTTTACTTGTTTACAAAACACCGATAAGCTGGGGTAGAAAAGATACATGGGGAGATGGCCAGCGTGGGGGTTACCATCAGGAGCACGCTTGCGGGGGCTGCATGCTCAGAGATGGAAATGAATCCATTTTAAGGGCGGCTGACAGTGAGGAGCTTCTCCTTCCAGGGAAGGCAAGGCACCTCTCTGAGCTGTGCCGAGAGGAAATCGGGATGCATTGGAAACCGCTAACGCAGCCATGTTCATCCCTGCTGTAATGCTGCACCTGGCACAAATTTAGAATGCAATGATTTGTAATATGGGCCACATTTGTCTCTGGTGATGTTCTCCAGGGCTGGGTCCAATACCCCTGTGAGTACAATGACATTTTTGTGCTCCTCTTTAGCAGGGACCAAGACAGTTCAAGGTGACTTCAAAAATCCCCTATGCCTAGAAGAGGCCTAGAAATGCCTCCGTCACTTTGGAGCAGGTGGCTGGATGGAGACCCCCACCTGTGTCACACCGACGGGACCGAGCAACCCCTTCCTGCTGCACCTTTGGGCTTTAATAAAAAAAATACAGGAGAAAAATGACTGTGTTTTGCCCTTGCTGGGAAACCCCTCCAAACTTCAGCTGACGCACAGGGCAAAACTATGGACAGGCCCTGGGCTGGACCTTTACTACTTTAGTCCGTGCACAGCCACCAGGCACACACTGCCTGCTCTGTCCCACCAAAGACCGCTTTGCTGAGCCTGTATGGCAGCAGCAGCTGCAATTGTGGATGCAACGTGAAACATCCTCGTTTTCCCCCCAGGGAGTACTAAACCCAGGCATCCAGCTTAAGAAAAAAGAGAGGAAAATACCTATTTTAACTTTGCTTCTAATCACAAAACATATATTCTTAAATACGCATACATCAGCAGAAACAGCGGGTAAGGGCTCCCGTTCTAAAACAAACAGAAACATGCACTTTGGGCCCTCATATGAAATGGCAGTAAAAGCCCAACCCAATAATTATTTTCCTTGATTTTCAGCCAGACAAGGCACAAGACAAATAAGTCATCAAGGACAAATAAAAGGAGGTTCATTCATCGCATTCAGGGCTGGAATCTTTAATGGTCACCAAATGAACTAAGATAACTAAGTAACCATTGTAAATATTAATCTTTAAAGGAAAACAATACTCCCAACAACAGGAAGCCTGATAAGACATTGGATGTTGCCATCAGTGTTATGGAGTCTCTCTAATTTCCTTAGTTTTTTCTTATGCCTGTAGAGGGATCAGGAAGGGGAACATATGGTATCTCTCAAAGGAAGTAAATTAACATTATTAATAGCCAATGTGGGAGAGGTGAAACAGTGATTGTTCATGGTGGTTGTTATTGTGCCTTTGTTGGGGGGGAAGCTTGCCTGCTAGTGAGTTTAAGCACTCAAGCCAAATTCAGAATCTTGTATTTATAAACAGAGATCTGATAACAGTTGCCTAAGCATCCATGATGCTTTGCCAGCGCACGCACATCAAGCTGATCTGAAGGGACTGCGTCTTGGGGTTTGTCCCAGGAGTCAACTAACACAGAAGAGAACTTATGGTGTGGTCCCTGTTCCCAAGTAACTCCTCACGTGGACCCTCACGTTCTTCTTTACATCAGTTTAGTTTGAAGCGAAGGAAGGAGGATGGGCAGACCTGCACTTCTGAGGAACCAAAGCTGTCCAGTGAGGCAGCTGATCAAGGGGCCATTGATGTGGGACATCTACTTTCAAGCACACAGTGATGGCACTACTGGGTTTCTGAGGGCTGTGCAATAGTGTGGTATGAAAGCGGCAGAATTATTTTGGGGGAAGCAATCATAACAAAGTGCTGTATTAGGATGGATTGAATTGGTGACCTGGAAGGGTAACTGAGAGTCCTGGGATCCCTTGCAATTTCGCTGCACTAAGAGAAGAATTTACCTTTCTTAGGCCTCTGCTTTCATCTCTCCCCCAAATACTTAAAGTGGTATTTATTTATTCAAAATAACATCAACACTTACAGAACATGTTATAGGCTGTGGCTACTTGAAAGGGGGAGACCCTGACCCCAGCCTCAGCTCTGTTCATCCCAGAACACCTGAAAGCATAAAATGCATTCCTCATTTCTTCAAATAGATCCTATACTTCCTAATTCCCAGTCATGAAAGCCTGAGGCAATTCCTAGCTGGCCTGGCAGAGGTGGACTTCATGACATCTTTCATGCTGAGACAATCTGCAAAATAAATTTGGCAGATCTTAGTAAAACAGAGGACTCTATTCAAGTTACCCAGTGAGCTCAGCAGATATAAGCAAGTTTTGGAGACATTGTTCAATAAAGTCTTTAGAAAAACATATGGTATAATTAACTCACTGAATCTTAATAAAAGTTGAGTAACCTAGTAAGAAAACCCTGTGCTTCAGGGCACATGGCGATTGCTTTATAGAGACAAAGGAATTCCCTCTGCCCTTGAAAGCTTATACTTTAACTGCAAGTTGACAGCTGGATTTTGGTTTCTCAGCCCGAAGAGGACAACTTGAGTATCTTAAAACAGTATAGGCCTTAGTTAAACTTAAGACAGGTGCAACTGCTCTGTAAGGAAACCATTTCCCTACCGTACCACTCTACTTGAAGAGATAACTCAGTAAACTCTGATTAAGTTTGTGTCTTAAAACCGGTCTAAAGTACCTCTTCCTGGGTGATGATGGGATATTTTGTTTCTTAAGAAACTCATCATGTTGACCAAGAAGTTCATGAAAGGTTGACAGAGCTGTGCATTGTTTGCTGGCACGGTGGAGTTATATGACAAGGATCAATTGCTCTCTGTGCTCAGGCCCATGTGGTTTATGATGTTGTGAAGTTTTCCACACTGCCAACTTTAGGGCCCTTTAGTATTTCAGGTTATGTAAACTTGTAATAAAGCTGTTCCTTCTTGGCTCTGAAGAATGGGACTTTCTGCTCAACCAGGACAGGGCTGAATTCCAGATGCGAAAGGCAGGATGCTTTCATGATGGCTTAGAAGAAGAGGATGTTTCCAAAACATCTATAGCAGTATGGGAAGACAGATGTTTAGCCAGGACAGTTCTACAGTCAGGTGAGACACTACCTCGAAGAAATTAAATGCATCAAGCCAGACTCTTTAGTGACTGAAATACCTTCTGAGAAAGATAACAGATCTGCATATCTTCATAATCTTAACTACCAATATGATGCCATCACCCTGATGACTACAACTCATTACACTGTGGTCACACACTTCTCATTGCCTGTCCCCACCTTCCATCCACATCAGGCACCAAGCATGGTTGGTTAGTGGTGGCAGATGAAAACAATTCTACTCTAAAACCACCACAACCTCAAGAAGAAAAGCAAGTTACAGTGCACTTCCAGGGAATTACACCACCAAGTCCAAAAGTTCAGAGATCTCAAAGGACAGGTAAGGCCCTGGCTTACCCTGGTATCAATGGGGTCTTGGAGGGTGAGAGTCTGTGGCAGCTGGAGAGCATGGCCAGCCCTAAGCCGTGCAAGCAGACACGCTGTTAACCCCCGCACAAAGCTATTGCTCACTTCTGACCCATTTTCTATCCTTATCATGCAATTAATCACACTTTGCAAGAGCTTCGTGGAAGGAGTGAGTTGTCTGGGGGCGGCTGCGATTACTCAGTTGTAACTTGGACTCTCCACCCAGGCAGGGGAGTATGGGGAAATACAACACTCCCCTCCCTCCCCAGTCCCCCCCTTGGACCATGGGCCAGGGTGCAGGAGCCATCCCTCTTCCCCCATGGCACGTGAGAGCAAAGTACAGACTTGGCTTCTGCCCTGCTCTTGACCGGAGCTGCAGCACCCAGAGCAAGACATCAGGTGACGGTGGCAAGTTATTTGTGGTAAAGCTCAGCAACTTGATTACTAATCTCTGGAAACGAGGGGGAAGCCGAGGAAGGATTTTGACCCCGTGGTGTCTCAGCTGGTGCAGGCACACACTGCCTCCCAGGGCCGCCCCAGGGAAGTGTGCCTCCAGGACACTCCTCCCCATGCCCCAAGCCAGGGCATGCCTGTAACTGCCACAGGACAATTTACAGGACAAATATTGAGGATAATTAAGGATAATCTCTGCTTTAGGTGTCTTACAAAGAAGGTCAGGTACTCTCTTTCCTTGTCAGATGTGATGAAATTAGGCAGCTCCCATTAATAGCAGGTACTTGTTTCTCAGAACAAATACTAATAAAACCCCTATCTAGATCCTAAAGGTTTCCTAGATTTAATCTTCTCAAAATTCCAACAAGATCATTACATTGAGTTTGCCTCTAAAGAGCTGTAACAGTGAATTGCATTACCAGCACCAATCTCCTGCTGGTATATGCTTTCCTTGCTGTACCCATGCTAACAAATACAGAGAGGTGCTATAATATGTATGTCCTGAGCTCAGAAAATAACATCCTTTCAAATAACTTGGCAGGTCGGGGTAGATTAGATAGTCACATAAAAGTGAAGGAGGAATCTGCCCCAACAACTTCTGCTGTTTTTTGTGGTCTGCTGATTTCATAATATTTGGTCATAAGATGTTGGTTTTGATATTCACTTATTATCACGATGGGCTTCTTCCTAAATAGCCTTTGGGTAACAGACATTTGCATTGCTGGCAAAGGGGAGAAGCTGGGACTAATGAATTCTGCTCCTGAAAGATCCCACTACCTACACCCAGGGGGACTTGAGAGGGCACATGCTGCGCAATGTCTTCTGCCTACGGATGCGACAGCCGACACAGGAGGAGGTCTGGTAAAACAGCATATTCCAGCTTCTGTTTCACTATCCTTGCACACCTAAAAGCCCAATTTCCAAGAAATCAGAGAAACACTGGTTCCATCCCTGTGAAGAAGGGATATTCCTTAGAAACATTTGTCTTGTGCCATCAGAGGCAGGATGCTGAAGGACCAGCAGCCAGAGGCAGCCAGCAGGCCTGTGGTCAGGCCAAGACTGCGCTCAGGCAAGAGGCAGGTTCAGCAATTTCTATGGAAAGGTTGATTCAAAACATAGGAAAAAACATGTGGCAACATATTCACTGAGAGATCACTTACAGTCGAGCCATTTGTAGCACTCCTGGCCTAGCAATCCCCCTTTACGCTGCCTTCATATGTTTATCTCTCCTTTTACATCTAGGCACACTGCTGTAGTACTTGAGCAGCTTCAGCAACATTTTTAACATATCAGCCTAACTATATTTTAATTAAGCTTATGGGATTGATAACAGCATTTGATCCTCAAGACTGCATGCAACAATTGAGCTTTTACAAATAACCATGCCCACATAATTATGAAAATAAGAACTGAAAGAGGCCTTTCTGTGCAGTCCAGGTAACTCTGCAGTTCTACATACTCCAAAATGTTCAACAAATGCATGCATTATTTTTTCTCTGCATTGCTCTGTGATTTCATAATCCTTTGAAAGCTCAAAGACAAAGTCCCCTGAAATGACCTGTCTATATTTAGGCAAAGAAAAAAACTCTTCCAATGCACAGGACCTAGAGCATTCATAGGCAGAACAAATCCAAAAGCTAAGGGGTAAGCTCACCATTGCACTAGATACAACAGCAAAGCCATCGCATACAAAGTGGAGAGCCGTGTCACTGTCACTATTTGTGATAATACAAACTGTCTCTGCTTTGTGATACTTACTCTTTTCTTTTTTTGTACAAGCCAGGCAGTGTTCCTCAGCTCCAGCTCAGCTTGTCGCCTATCTTGTTGCCCATGACCAGGTTGTCTGGAAAGGCAGGTGGCAAGTTCACGAGGATGCTTCTAGCAATGAACAGCATCTCCCAAGTAAAGCCCAAGGAGCAAAGCTGACTTGCTGCATACTAGTCTCCAGGTTTGTGGTCTTTGTTTCAGTGGATGGTGGGGTTCCCTGGAACTGGAGATGCTCCATTGCATAATGCTAGCCAAGAGCTCCAATCAAAGCCTCACCAGCATCACATTAAAAGCCTCTGCAATTCATCTCATATTTTGCTGGCTCCCAACAGAGTGCAGTGACAGGGCAGGGGGCTGGCACTATTTTTAAACTCTAGGATACTGATCTGAAGCTTGCCAGATTTACACTCCAGCTTTTTAATTCAACTTTATAAGCACTGAGTCTTCACGCCAGCTGTGCCTCATGGAACAGATGCTTGTGTTCAACAGGCTGCTGTGCCAGACTCACCTCCATTCTGTATCCCCCATGTACCAACTATATGACCACAACCTAAACCTGCAAGCAAAAGAGGCAGAGAAAGGCAAGCTCTGACACCCTGTCCCTGCCCCCCCCTCCCCCCCAGGAGTCCAATTCAGCTCTGTTTACAATTAATTCTGTACTCAGGCAATAAAAGGCACTTGAGATAGAGAGCAAAAGAGTAAGGCTAATTTACTTCTGAACAACAGTACCACTCAAGGGCTTCCGACTTGCAGTTAGCCCTATTGTCCCCCCAGTACATATGCAGACCTTTCAACTCCTAGACCTTAAAAGAACTACTTATAAAAATATAGATATCATCATATTACTTTACAGATTGGAAGACACAGGCTTGAGAAAAGTATCAGATAACTTGTCCAGAATGCCATGGTAGCAGAGCTCAGAATCACACCTACAGCTCTCAGTTCTCTAACTAATGCCCAACTGTCTGCATAATTTGCAGTCTGGCTCTGCTGCAATCTTTTGTTGTGACAAGTATCTAAATGCTTTATATCACTTTTGACTTATAAACTATGAGATCATATTAGTAAGATGTAAAACTATAAGCAGTGCATCCAAATTTAAAGTTTTCTCAAAGTAGAATGGAAACATTTTAGTCTGAAACTGTAAAGATGGAGTGGGCTTACACTATCAGAAACAAAAGAGCACTGTGTATTCGGTGTAAGGACACATTCAGCTTGATAATGGATCTGTCAAGTCTGACTTTTGCTCCTCACCCCACGTCCATGATGAACCAGATTAAGTATTTTGTGTGTTGCACCTCTTCTTTACGGGGCACTAGAAATAGTGAATAACCCAACACCAGTGATAAAGCACGCTCGTACAAGTCAGTCAAGTGGCTAAGCCTTCAAAAACCATGTACACCTGCTTGGAAGCACTACTGGAAAATTTGGCTTCTACCATGTTTCAGGGCTGTGATTTTTAAAAAGGGACTAAGAGCTGAACACCCAGTGAACATCAATGCACAATGACTGCTGACCACATTTTCTGAAGTCCTTAGAAAATACCAGCCTATGATTAATTTATAATACCAGCTGAGAAGAATAGTTCAATCTGTAGTACGATCATGTAGTTATATTAATTAATGATAACTTCATACCGTTAATCCCAGAGTGTCAGGGACAGTGCAATATATACAGTAGCCTAGAAACACATCGGGTGCCATACGGCAGAAGTGCAGTCTTACCATAGGTGCCTTATGCATAAAGCTGCATCAGGCTCTGTGCTCTTTGAATACTCTCTCAGCACCACCACATTTGAGATTTTGGGTTGGAGCCCTGCTTATTCATCCATAATGAGAAAGTCAGACTGGTCTCTGTTATTCTATCCTGAGCCCAGCTTAACTTCATTAACTATCAGCACAAGGTCATGCTCTGTTAAGTTTGTACTTTCACATCCCTTAATAACTTCAAACCATCCTAGCTGTCAATGCACTGACATTTATGGTCGTCTTCTATCATTCCTTTGTTTATGTTCAAAGTTCATTCATTGCCTTCTTCCATTAGGGCTCTGTAACACATTCTCTGCCCTAGTACACCTCCTGCTACCTTCTTACTCGAACCATCAAAAGTTTCAATCTGTCACAGAAGAAGAGGTAGTTTCCATGGAAACTCTAAAGAACAGGCTAAGTTAACGAGGCAGAAAATGAAGACAGTGTCCTCAAGCTCACCCATTTTGAAAATCTAGGTCAGCAATGTTTGCTTAAAACATTCCACTGTTCTAAAACCATGTTCATTTGACTGTTAAGGATGTAATAAAAAGAGAGGCTCTAGCATACCCCAAACTTAGCATGTTTAATATAATACCATATGTCCATGTGAATAAACCATTCTTACAATTTCTCCCAGCCTGTTTTCCCTGCTCAGTTTCCTTGGATAACCAATGGGCATTTAGTTTTATCGTCTAGTTATTTATCTATCTTCACCAAACATTTACTCTGGCCATCATAATCCGACTTTCGGGTAGTGTTCAAGTAACCTGCTATGATCTCACCAAGGGCAGGAGGTATTAGCTATGTCATCCATTATAATCTCATTTAGAGGATCTACAGGAATGAAGGGACTGTGCACAGGAAAGTCAAATTCAATCTCAACCTGAACACCACATGGGCAGAAGCCAAGGAACGAAACCAACACTGAAATTCTGAAATTAAGTTTGCTTGCAGTTGATGCTGACTGATTTCAGCCACCAACTATAAGTAGCAAACGCTGATCTGGTGAAATGTAATGGATCATGCTACAGTAAACGAATTAATTACATTTAGTGGGTTTCCTTAAGCAAGAATCACCGTTCCTCTCGGGAGAAGAAACGGCCACACCAAGTGTTAGTGCTAAAATATGTTGTCAAGTATGTAAGGTTGTGGAATTCTGCCTAAAAAAAACTGCTGTGGGAGGAAATAACCCTGATGATTTGCTCGTTGTTTCCTCTGCTAATTGAAAGCAGATGTAATCACTTGCAGTCAAATACCTTTTGAGATGCAACTATTTCACCAAAGGTACCCTATCTACTACTTATCTCTATAATTTATGCTGACTGAGGGCCTTCAGTGCTTTGTATAGCTAATTGATGGCCTCTTCCCATTAAAAGGTAAGGTCCCATATAACAGGGAGCTTTGCTTTTTCTGCCCACAGTTGATGGTGATAGGATTTCAGCTGTTGATGACAAGCAAGAAACAAAGGTTAAGAAAATACCTATAACCTTATGACTTCCCAAGAAAGCAAGGTGCACATGATGACAGCTTACAAAAACAATCTGCTGTCCTAGTAAAAACCTACTGCAATCCGTACCACATTCCTTGTGTTATTAAACATCAAATCTGAAGTAAATAAAGCTTTTTTCTAGACGATGCCCTTTTCCCTGCCTAAACCCCTACATAATGTGTTGGTTTAGGAGTGGTGTACAGCCAGGACAGTTTGAACAACTTATCTGAAGCAGAACAGCAGTCTCCAAACACACTTTGGTGTAATCCAATTACACTAATTAAAATAATTATTTCCACTTAGCTTGTTACTGAACTGCTTGCTTGGCACATCTAGAGTCAGCACATACAAAGGTCAGGTGCAGCCTCTACAAAATCTAGGGAGGACAAAAAACCAGGAGCATTGCAGGATACAAGTCTCTAGATGTTGTTGTTGGTTTGGTTTTGCTCAAGTACGCAAGTTCACAGCTGGCAGGAGGAGAGCCTCTGACTTGTTTCATCTTGCCTACACACATCATGCTTTCCCCCTCAGCTCTTACTCCACTCCTCAGTTCTGCTGCAAACTGAATTTCCAGCCTGGGAACTTCTCTCCAATGGTAAGTTAGGAAACAAGACGGGTTGAAACCTTACAATTTCTCTGCAAATGGGTACTTTGTCGTGCTAATTCTAGAATAAGAATCATAAGGTAGACAGCTTGCCCTCTAAATTTGCAATTGAAGCGTCTGCTACTCTTGCCTACATCTTTTGCAGAGTCTCTGGAGGGAAAAGCAATCCATTTTAGAGGAGAAACAAATAGACACATAACTGTCAAACTTATTTTCAGTTTTTTTCAGTGAGCCTAAAAGAAAGTTTCCTTCAACTCGCTCCATGTTGCCAGTATAGCTTTGTCTCCATCACTTTACAATTTTCTAGCATGCCTGTCTGCTGCCAAATCCTTCCCTTGACACAACCACAGAATAAAAAAATTCTTGGCTTCCCTCACTTGAACCTCCAACAAGCCACAGTGGCTTTCTTAACTACAGCCTTCTGCAAAGCAGCGCAGAAAGCAGGCCTCAGTCATTCCCACTGGACAACCGTACAAAACAGCCTGATTTTATTTTTTCCCCTTGCATCGGCACTGTAGACATCTGACATGACCTTGGATAATGCCTCTAACTGGCTACCTCAGCAAGCCCCTAGGTCTTTCAAAGGGCCACCATTCCTCTTCCCACACAAGACAAAAAAGCTGGTTTTCCTCTTTGCTAACCCAGGACCACAGGATTGCTGCCTCACCATCTGCATTTGGCCAAAGCAGGTGTAAACAAAACTGGAGTTCCCCAAACAGTGACTTTGGTTTAGCAGATGCTGCTGTGAAGCAACCTGGTGGCTACAAAAACTGGGGCATCAGGGTTTCTCACATGACCTCATGTTCTCACTCACTGCTCTTCTCT